TAATATATAGTTCTAATCAATTTTATTATTTGTAATATGCATTATATAAAGTCTAATAAATTTTAATTATGTGATATGTTGCTATATTGCTAGTTTAATATTTTATATATATTTTTTTTTAGAGGCGTCAAATATTGATATCACGCCCTCTAAGATAAATTTAAGATTATTATATTAATTTTCAGCAAATCTTACTATATTTAGTAATTATTGTAAACAATTTGATTGGCAGAATTGGCCAAAGAATAGCCAATCAAAACATAAATGATCATTAGCCAATCAAATGGATTTTTACGTCAAAATAAATATTGTTGGTCTTTTTCAAATAATTTATAGCATCATATTTTCTTATTTCTGAATCTATTTTTTTAAAGGATTTACGCAAGTGTATTTGCTCGTGAGGAAATTTATTTAGGAAAGTATAAATACTGGCGCAAACCCCTGCGACTGATGTTTGGTAGAAATTCAGAGGATAACCCTCTTTGACGCAGTTCATAATAAACTTCGTTTTTAGTAGCCAATTCCTTTCAGAGGATGACCTCTTTGACGCAGTTCTTAATAAACTTCGTTTTAGTAGCCACATTCCTATCAGGGTGACCCTCTTTGACGCAGTTCATAATAAACTTCGTTTTAGTAGCCACATTCCTATCAGGATGACCCTCTTATGACGCAGTTCATAATAAATTTCGTTTTAGTAGCCAATTCCTTCAGGGGATGACTTTCTTTGACGCAGTTTTTAATAAACTTCGTTTCAGTAGCCAATTCCTTTCAGAGGATGACCCTATTTGACGCAGTTCATAATAAACTTCGTTTTAATAGCCAATTCCTATCAGGATGACCCTCTTTGACGTAGTTCATAATAAACTTCGTTTTAGTAGCCACATTCCTATCAGGATGACCTCTTTGACGCAGTTTTTAATAAACTTCGTTTTAGCCAATTCCTTTTCAGAGGATGACCTTCTTTGACGCAGTTTATAATAAACTTCGTTTTAGTAGCCAATTCCTTTGTTTTCTCTACCAGAAGTGTTATGTCAAGCCAGATTTTTCTTTTCTTTTTTATCTATACGGTGATTTAATACTTTCATTATTCTATTACAGAAATGATTTTCGATATTCTTATCTTGAAGTACCTAGAAATTACTGATTATAGAATGTGGAGTTTTGCAGGAGCCTTGGAGCATTTATCACCGAGAACAATCCTGGAACTCACACCATCGGTTTGATCAGATAAATATGAAATTGAAGCTAAAAAACAAAGACGGGCATGCGATTGATACAAATAAGGAATAACGTGCAAAGGTATTTATTTTACTTATATTCAATATATTTATTGTATTATACAGGGAAATCAGAAGAATATTGAACGTGCTTATTTGAAACAGATAAGCGTCGGTAGATGCATCAGGTCATAAAACTTATGAATGGCGCGCATCTTAAGCAGATGTTAGAATATTGGTACGATAATTATTTTTATATAGAATTTATCGATCTATAGCGATAACTAGCGATAGCGATATTATTTTATGAATCAGAAAATATCTTCTAAAACTTGACATGATCGGCACAATATATAAAAAAAAACGCAACTTTTTTTTTTAATTTTTAACTTTGTTAATGTTAATAAAAAATATATACTTGACCATTTTTGTCCACGGCCAAATGTCAACACTGCATTAGTGTATTATCCTTAAATTCGGAGGAATTAATTTCGTTTAAATTAAAGGTTGAACAAAAATGGTTTATATCACTGGAATTATAGAAAATGTTGAATCGTGCGTAAAAAAAAAAAAAATGCCTAATCTTCAAAATTGTCATCATCAACGCCATTATCGCCAGTTTCATTGCAATACTATCTATCATTAGATTTTTTTTTGTTTCTCCCGACCTTACAAGTCAAGGATAATTAAAGTCGTTTATCATTGAAAGGATATCATCAAAATGGTATTGGTAAGGACTCAATATTAATTATAGGTGAGAAGGTATAAGGAGGATGTTCTTATTCTATCTTCACTTAAACACGATTGAACGTCGAAGATTCAGCGTTAACAGTTCATTTGAACGGGAATGTAATTCAAGATAGTCATGTGATATTTATGTTTAAAGTAGGAAATCGATTAGGATTCTTGTCAAAAGTTTATAATAAAATTAATTGACAACAAACGTGATAAATCATTTACAGTATAAATTATTTGAAAGTGATCAGAATTTAACTATTAACAATTGAGATGTTTATACGATTAACATCTAATAAATGTCTTTATCAAAAAGGAAAAAGGTAATAATAATAATAGTAGTAGAATAGTAATAGTAATAAAATTAATTAATTATCCAATTTTAACAAAAAAAGAAAAAAAGAAAATAATAAATTCTATGAACAAAAAGGTCCACAAAAACAAAAATAAGTTAACCTATTTTATTTAATGTTATGAACTCATCCCTTTTTTGATTTTTTTTCCTCAGTTAACTCAATATTATCTTCTGGAACCTACAATGAAGTGAAAAATAAATAATTAATTAAATAATAAGAAATTAACCTTAAATTCACTTTAAACATAATTCATACATCTGGCCACGTTTCTAATATATAATCAAATAAATCATCCGAAACATCTCCTTGTACAACAATCTCATCATTTCCTTGATTATTTTTTACTACTGATGATCCACATGCAAATTTTGATGCAAAGCTCTTTGCAGCTTTTTTCAAATCAATATCTAAACATAATTGAATTAATTTTAAATTAAAATCTTCGAATTCTTAAAAAAAAAAAAAAAATTATAAATATAAAGAAAAATAGTTGCTATCAACCAAAATTCTGTAAACCATAAACACTCGTTACACTTTTTCGTTTGTTTCGTGCAATTCGTGTTATAACTACTTTGGAGGACTAAAAAAAAAAATGAAGTTAAATTAAATTAGGAAGGTATATCATTTATTAACCCACATGATATTTTACACATAAATCATTACCATCTTCTTCTTCAATTCACGTTCTAATTTTGCTGCTTCTGAATGATACCATCCCATTCGATTCGTGATAAATATTAACAATTCATCAAAATGCAATTTAAAGTGCAATATATTGTACAATTACAAATCTATACCTTTAGCCTTCTTTTTATCTTCCGCATCATTAACCGGTTTATCTTTTAACGATACCTTAGCGACGCTATTCTCAAGAGACGCTGTATGAATTTAAATTTTAAGCTCAGATTAAAATTACATATTTCGCGCTTTTTAAATGTGAATAACAATTAATTGTAAAATAGATTACTTTGCGAATACAACTTTTCGAACATTTCTGGAAAATTTTGTTGTAACCATTCTTTACATTTATTTAATGTCAGTCCATGTTCGCAATACTAATTGGGTATTTTGATTAAATGTTGGTATTAGAAATAAATAATGATTAAAAAGCAAAAAGCTCATACTTCGGGCGGTAACGAACAGACTACAGGAAAGAAAAGTATTATTAAATTTCTTAAAGATACGTTATATGAAAGACTATTATCACAATTACCTCCACAGTATATCACTTGTTTTGCTGTATTTGTCGGAGTTGCCGAAGGTGTCGGTGTTGGTGTTGCTGGTGTTGCTTGTGCTTCTGGCTCGGACATTTTCTAAAATAAATTTTTTAATTTAAAAAAAACGGATCAACTTTTATTTAATTTATGATTTCACGTGACGACTATTTTTATTTTTTCTTAGCAAGACTTGGCACCCACGTGAATTCTCAAGTGTGACCAAAAACAATTCTTGGCTAATTCAATGTCCGCAGTATTTTTATATATAAATATTTGCCAAATTTGTTATTTTGAATGATAGATAGTTTTAAACTTCCCCAACTTTTCGAATCAAATTTATATCACCAAGGCAAATCGAATACCTAAAAAATAATGAACCGTCTCTTTGGAACTTCAAAAAAGACACCCAAACCAACATTACCCGATGCTATTGCTGCCGTATGTATATTTATTTTACCAACTTTTTTTTTTCGAGGTTATAGAATTCTAATTGTCATTGGAAATGCGGATTTTAATTAAATCAGACGGATACGCGAGTGGATGCGGTTGAGGTGAAAATAAAAAAACTTGACGCGGAATTAGCTAAATATAGAGATCAAATGAAAAAAATGCGTGATGGGCCAGGAAAGGTAATTCGAATTTTTTTATTCGTTTATTTTCTGTTGAAATTTTCGTGTAGTTAACTTGATCATTTCGAATTTTTAGAATGCAATTAAGAATAAAGCATTACGAGTTCTAAAACAAAAGAAATTGTAAGTAGGAAAAAAATATATTTCTATACATTAGTTTCTCGTATAACGGATGTAATTTCTTGGTACCCTCATATTTAGGTATGAAACTCAACGGGAACAACTTCAACAACAATCTTTCAACATGGAACAAGCTTGTTTCACCACCGAAAATTTACGTAATGTAATTTCCACAGTTGATGCAATGCAAATCGCCAACAAAGAAATGCAAAAACAATATAAAAAAATAGATATAAATAAGATTGAGGTAAGTCACAAAGATTTATTGATTTCTCTTATATTCTTATGGTTGAAAAACTTTTTAAATTAAGAGCATCCAAGATGATATGGAAGATTTGTTTGAACAAGCTAATGACATACAAGAATCACTTGGAAGAACATATGGAGTCCCTGAGGAGATCGATGATGAGGAATTAGAAGCAGGTTTGAATAAAAAAAAAAAAAAAAAGAATTTTTGTTTTATACTTTTATTTTTACACTTCCTTAATATGATTTTCTAATTTAGAATTGGATGCTTTGGGAGATGAATTAAATTTTGAGGAAGAGGAAGAACCATCATATTTACAAGAAACACCTGAATTACCAAACGCTGGACTAAGTGAATTGGAAGGAACAGAGGTACTTATTCTTTAAATAAATAATAAATCGCTTGAATTTTATATTTTGTTGAAAATTAATTTATTTAATTAAAAATTTAGACCACTAAAGTAGATGAACTGGGATTACCAGAGAATCCAATGAGAAATGTTGCATAGAAAATTTTCAATTAATTTTTCTTTGGTTTTGTATAATACTGTTGTTAAAGTTTTTACCCAAACCCGTTGAAATTATTATTATAATATTCCTTTCTATAGTGACTTGCATTTGTTTTATAAATTAATAAAATATTTAAATTAATATTATTACATGGCAGAATTAAAAAATATGTATATATATTATACTTTTTCCTTCTAAAAGCGCAAAATGGTGAGGGAAAGTAATTTAAATATCTAAAAATCCATTATCTAATCTGTACTTAACTAAATCTGCGATAGTAATTAATCTTAAACCGTGTTCATCAGCAAATGCACGACAATCATCACGACGTGCCATCAGTCCATCATCCCTTACCAATTCACAGATAACCCCAACAGGTTGCAAATTTGCCAATTTGCACAAATCTAACAATGAAAATTCCCGTTAAAGAAGATGAATAAACAAGAAACCGATTTATTTAAAGATTTTTAGTACCTATTGACGCTTCCGTGTGTCCAACTCTGCTTAAAACTCCACCTCGAGTATATCTTAATGGAAATATATGACCAGGTCTATTAAAATCATTTGGATCCGTTATAGAAGGATCGGCAAGTGAACGCGCCGTTAATGCGCGATCGTGTGCTGATATTCCTGTTGTTGTGTCTACATATTTCATATTTCATTCGATCATTAAAGAAATTAAAGAATACTTATTAATATATAGTTAAAAACAGGTAAAAACTTACTATGCTTGTAATCTACAGATATTGTGTAAGCAGTTTTCATTTTTTCTGAATTATTTTGAACCATCAGAGGTAAGATAAGTTGATTCGATCGTTCTGGTGTAATTGGTACACAAATCAACCCACTTATCGTTTAAATATATTAGAAAAAAAGATATATTAGGAGCGAAAAATTTTAAAAGGTTTTATTGTACATTAAATCAGAAGCTTACCTCGTGTATCGAACCATGAATGCCATTTGCTCGGTAGTAACTTTTTCAGCCGCAATAATCAAATCGCCTTCATTTTCTCGATCTTCATTATCTACAACCAAAACAAATTTTCCTTGCGCTAAAAAAATAAAGTTAATGAATAAAGGATTAAATGAACATAAAATATTAACAAGTTGTATCAACGTACCGAAATCGGCAAGTGCGTCTGGAATAGAATCAAATCGAACTTTATTATTTGACTTTTCGTTCAGTGGTTTTGGAATGGTCGTTCCATTGCCATTAGTATATGATAATTTAACCATGTTTATAATAATATTCAATAAAGGAAAAAAAAAAAAGACGAGATATTAAATACTAAAAAAAAAAATAATCCGGATCTTTTGATCCTGATTTACATTATGTAATAATTGATTACTAAATGCTTATTGTTGAAATGAAATGTTTATCTATATCAGGAATTGATTAATAATTTTATTAAATATGAATATCAAATGTAATTCTAGAAGGTTGATGCAAATTTAAATTTTGGTGGCACCAACAAAAAAGCTGATGCATGTAATACAAACTTGAAATTTGATGTTTATTATTAATGTTTGAAATATTTCATAATTATAAAGAAATAAAAATTAATATTTATAGTGGGATACCACAATATAATCTTGGATACCACCACCATATGACTTAAATACCACCATATAATCTGGATACCACCATATGATCTAAATACCACCATAATAATCTGAGTATTACCATATGATCTAAATAATATAATCTAATTATCACCATATAATCTAAATAATATAATCTAATTATCACTATATAATCTATTTATTTTTGCATATTAGATATCTTTTTTATACTTTAGCTATCCTTTTAAATCTTTCTTGCTATCTGTATTTTTTATCACCATATAATCTAACTATCACCTACCATTTAACCTAACTATCACTATATAATCTAAATACCACACTTTTCTTCTTGTTTCTGAATCATTTATATGCTAAATTCTTTAATGAGTTATTAGTCCTCTGTAACTGTTTAAATATCTGGTTTTATATTAAAAATGCTGACCTCCTGCACCTGGTTGGATGCTGGATTCTTTATTAGAGTGCTTATCCTTTACGCCTATTTGGTTACTTTTCTAAATACCAAAATGTGGTAAAAAAAATATGGTTTTAGATGATGCAATAAATTTGTGATTAATTTTGGCCAGCACTATACAATAATTTTGGCTGATTTTAGGATATGTGATTTGGAGAATCCAAGCTAGCACTATGGTAATGACTTGGTAATATTCTGAAGCTGTCATGGAACTAGTGAGAAACTGTCAGAATGCCAGAAAGGTTCCTATTAGTTCACCAGCTTGGATGCAGAATTATTATATTCAAAGTTCTAGCTAAAATCATGGAATAGTTTAGCCAAAATTTTCATTAATTTTACTGCATCTTTAGTTCTGAATACTTTCCCGTCACCTTCTTGTAACTTTTATTTCGTATATACATTATTCTTATTTTGTGATTGATTGGAAACATAATAGTGATAATGCATATACAAAATAAAAATCATAATAAGTGGTAATACTTTTACTTACACAATATTACCAGCTAGGTTTAATTCTATTTTTGACCTTCTATTTGATACCAAAAGTAAGACCGAAGAAAACTTATCTTCTGGATGTATACCTGATTATACTTTTCTAAATTCATACTAATAATAGAGTAGCCAAGTACTAATATTTCTGAAAAAGCCTTCATATTATATTCAGATACATATTTAGGAAGGATAAGTTTTACGCGAAGGCTATACTATACCTGAGTACATATCTAGAAAAGTGAATGCATCTGCCATATTTTTATATAATAATTCTGCAGATACCTTCACTTTTAATTATATTACGTATTATTATGACCAGCCTATTTACATCATACCTGAGTACATGTCTAGAAAGTGTAAACTTTTGCCAATTTTTATATAATATATTACGCAAAAGGCTACATTTTTTAAGGTATACTAAATTGTATTTTTCTTTTATGATTTACTGATTAAGTTTGATATCACTTCTTTTTTTGCATTCATCAAAAAAATAATTAAATATTTTTGAAATTTATAAAAAAATATAAACCTTTTCAAACTAATGACATAGATACTTTAACTATTTTTGACTAAACTGATCACATTAGAACTGCCTGCTATGACAGCACCAGCTCTGATGAATATTTAAGTGACTCAAGCAGTTATACTGATAATATATCTGATTTAGGGTCAAATGATTATAATAACTATGAGTCTAATTATGAGTCGAATAATAAAGAAGCTTCCTGCGCTTTAACCAATACTATTAAAACTCTATTGATTCAACCACCAAATGTAAAAGAGTGAAAGATTAATGTAGCATATACTTTAAGGCAGAAAAAGTTTAATGATAATTTTTTTTCCAAAGACTTGCTAAATGTCATTTGAGAAATTTTCCTATCACTACCTAGAGATATGTCAGATGAAAAAGAATTATTAGAATATCATCCAATTTATTTATTTCTTTTTCTGAATGAAAAAGGATCTAGTTTATATAATGCTTATAGTTAGAATAAAGTGAAAAATAAATTAGTTATCAAAATTGATCAAGATAGTGATCAAGCCCTAAAGTTTTCTGTAGCAGATAATATTTCTAAAGTATATGGCTTGCCTGAGATTTATAAATGTATTAACAGTCAAAATCCTTTAAGAACTATAATTAATATAGATACTTTACAAGAAGATATGGAAACAAATAGTATTAAGGCACAAGAAGTATTTATTCAAATCTGTTTATCTTTCATAGAGCTTTGTATCAAATTTTTGATTGTAGCTAGGAAGATATTCTCAGAGGATTGGTAATTGTTACATTATTAGATTTTAGCAAGTGTAACTACTACATTTTATATATACTGGCTCTCCTTATCGATTATTATGAACTCAAAATATTCATAGAATTAGTATATACCTTAACCAGAAAGAAATTTAATAAGTATATTGATTGAGGATTACCTGATCAGAATTTTAACCTTTGCCTTATCAGTTCAGTAAAAAAAAGTCGTGTGAAGCACATTCTTCAATTCTCACTAGATAATGAGTAGAATAACCTCAATCATACTAAAATTTAGTCACTTACTAGCTTAAGGTTTGAAGTAAGACCCTGATTACTTAACACAGAAAAAAATAATAATCCACTAAGAATAATTGTAGGTCATAATATATTACAAAAATGTGCAGACCTTGTTTTGCAGAGATATTCTAACTATTTTAAGGATTGGACTATTGAAGAAAAGGATTCAGAAAACTTTGTATATTTTAACTAGAAAGCTTTACTAGAATGTTTACAATGTAAACGTATATATAATAAGAAACAGTGGTAGTTCAGTCATATATATGCTAGCAGTGGGATATTCATAATAAAATGCTTTAGTAAAATAGTGATAAGCGTAGTGTGAAGTTTTTAAATGCGACCTATCTATTGCAAAAAAAATTCAGAAAGAAAATAAAAATTTATCTCCTGCCTCTCATAGGATAAAGGGTCTAAGTTTTTCTAAAGCCTTCGTAAAAATACCATTTTGGGTTAAATATAATAAAATCCTTACAGTGACAAAAATATATGAGGAGAGATATGTAAGACTATTACCTAATGAAGGCAATATTTATATAGGATCACCTTAGAAGATAGGAAAAATATATGTTCTAAAGTATCTTACTATATTTGATGACGTGAATTTGCTAGTATTATCCACATGTCACTCTTACTCAAATGCTATTACTACAAGACTCAATCTCAAATCATATTATAATATTGATAGTAATATAAATCTATCTGATCATAAGAGGATAGTATGTCAGATAGAAAGTTTATATCATATTACCAATAATTATAAATTTAATAAAAAATGCAAATGCTTCCAATCCAATACAATTTATGACTTGATGAAATAGTATTTATAATTGTTCAGGCAAAGAGTCATTTAGCTAGATTATCAATAGAAAAGTTATATAAATTAGTTCAAAACGTAAGGCACATTATTATCATAGATAATGATCTAACTAATCTAAATATCAAATAGATTAAAGTCCTTCATAAGGATAAACCATTCTCAGTTATCCATAATACTTATTAGCCTCAAAAAGGTAAGACATTCTGTTTGGCTCCTAATAAAGAAACTGTGTTAGCCAAACTCTAGAATTGGGTCAAGAAAATGTCTTCACTACCATTTAAGAATCAGAAAAGTACTTTATTTATCTGTCATCTTAGAAAGGACGTATAAGAGATTGTTCATACTCTCAAGACTGATTTTCCAGAATTATGAATCAAGGAATATTATGGCAAATCTGATCTAATAAAAAAAGCTCAGAATTTCAGCAACGTAGAAAAATCATAAAGTAATGTACTCTAAAAATAGGAGCATCTTACACTAATCCAAAGTTTGAACGAGCATTCTGTCTTTTTAATAGCTACATAGAAATAAATACTAAAACAAATCAGATGTTATTCTGCATGTGATGCATTAAAGATTATATATGTTATATTGAGCAAAGATCTTCTAATGTTCTAGTCACAGAGAATGGATTATTCTAATAGTTGTTAAATATCAAATGCGAATATCTCCCTGAAAACTTCAGAATAGAGGAATATTTCTAGATATAGACTTTATCATCCAGAATAAAGATGTATTAACTGTTTATTTATAGGTGATCTATATATTAGAAAGATTCCATTCTCAATACTTATTTGGTTAGAAGATGGTTGATTTTCTCTGAAATACAGGTATAGTAATTTCTGTCATAGAACCCATTTCTAAATCTGAAGATACTACGATGTCATTATCCTAAACAGTGAAGGTGAGTTTCTCTACTATTAAAGCAGAAAAAAAAGTAGATATATTTAATGCTATTATTGTCGATTATAAGACTGCTAAATTATTAGAGAATAAATCAAAGAAGACTTTAGAAGAGATGCGTTCTTTAGACTGGCATTATATTATGGATTGTTATGAGATTTCTCCTGAATCATTGACTGAGAATTTTATCTTAAAGTATGGAAATTACAATCACATAAAATGATTTAGAGCTTATAAGCAATTACGATAGAGCTCTGAACAGGTCAGTTCAGATCAGGTCAATCAAGTTACCTAAACTGAAAAGATCAGGTTAAGTCAAACAAAAATCTGATCTGATTTAAATTTTCATTTGACCTGATCTAATCTAACCTAATATAATCTAATTTAATTGTAAAAACTGTGATTAATTGTAAAGACCATATATAAAATGATTGTAAAGA